TGTAATAAATTCTATAATATATTTATCTTATGTATAGTCCATTAAGTTGTTTCCAAACTTCTATATTAGATATGCTAAAACATCATTGCTAAAAGCTTGGGCTGCTGAGTCAGATAAATTTATTTTTTATGCTTTTTAAAACTTTTTTGCATTTATTGGGTTTGAACTCAGGGCCTCATGCTTGTGAGGCAAGCATTCTTCCACTTGAACCACACCCCAGCTCTAAATTCTATTTTAATCCATTTGAAATCACTGCCATTGGTGTATCATTAACTTCCCTAACCCTCCATCTTTTATCTATAAAATGAGAGCAGTAGTATGGACATACTCATAAGAACTTTACATTGCCACTGTAATGGCCATTATTGTTATATGAGAATGAAAATCAAGGTGATGGTAATATAAAAAAAATATTGCTGGTTAAATCAGGAATCTGGACATTCATATGAAGCCATGAGTGATATTTTTTCATTTGGTATTTATACCTATCTCTAAAGTCTATATATGGAGTTACCCTTTGGGTTTTTTTTTTTCCTATGTTTTACTTAGAAACTAGATATCCTTGCCTTTCTAAGAAGCTTCTATTTATCTCTGATCTCAGAGTTTTACAGAGGAATCAGATAGTCATGTATACTGGAAAAGAAAGTTTGCCAGCAGAATGAATTTGGAAAAATGTTGAACAACAACAAATGAGTTTCTTAGTTATACAGCTATTACATGGTTACATTTTCTTTGTAGCTCTTAAGAAAGAGAATTCATACATTGACTTATTGACTAAAGAACATTTAGTCTTGAAAGAGTATTTCATGAAATGCACTTTGCATTTCATGAAAAAACTGGTTTTTCCAGACGTGTTGTTAATTTCATGAGCTAATACCTATCTTTTCTTTTTCCTGTGAAAATTTTTCAAGTCTGATGTGCTAGGAAGAATTTCTTTTCTTTGTCTACCTTGTGTATATTGTTTAGCCCATAAGTAACCTTTGATCACCACACTTAATCGCCAATAGATTTTTTTAGATTTTGCTACCAAAATACAAAAGGGAAGCTGTTTATCTGGATATTAAACATTACAATTAAAACTGGTAATCTTTAGCCAGTCAGAATTTTAGGGGTTTTGATACATATAGAAATGAAATGGATTGCTTTAAAAAGACTAAATAAGTGAAAAATAAGCTAATTCTCATCCAGAGTGAAGAGTTTTCTAAGTTAATTGTTTTTCTTGAAGAAATGATTGAGATGAGGACAGATAGAACTTACGGTTTATGTGTTTCCAAAAATCTAATAATAAATGTTTGTCATCTCTTGTTTGTCATCTCTCAGCCCTAAAAGTTGACATTGAAAATTTTCTCATATATATATGACTGTTGTGATTCCAAGGAATGATAGTGCTGGTATATTCTTACTTTCAAAAGTTCATTTTCTTTTTGCTTTTTCACTGCTCAAAAAAGCCAGGTGCCAGTGACTCACACCTGTAATCCTAGCTACTGGGGATGCTGAGATTGGCAAGATCACAGTGTGAGGACAACTTTGACAATAAGTTCATGAGACCCATCTCAACCAGTCACTGGGTGCCATGATACTTGCCTCCTGTCACTCCAGCTATGCAAGAGGCTGAGAAAGGGAGAATCACAGTTCCAGGCTACCCCAGGCAAAAAAGTTCACGAGACCTCTTCTCAATAGAAAAAAACTAGGCATGGTAATTCGTGTCTGACATCCCATTTTCAGCAGGAAATGTAAAATAGAATGCCTACCAAGATTGGCCTGTGCAAAAAAAAAAATATCCTATCTCCAAAATAGCCTGAGCAAAAAGAGCTGGAGGCATGGCTAAAGTGGTAGAGCACATGCCTAGCAAGCATGAAGCCCTGAGTTGAAACATCAGTACCCCCAAAAAGAATAAGAATAAATAAAAGAAAGATATCTGTTTTACCGCTTCCCCTACTTCAAAGCATCAGGGATAATATATAGGGCCTAGATCATTAATTTCAAAATATTTTAACCATAAAATGTTTTCTTTAGAGGAAACATTTTATGGAAACTTAACAAGTAAAGCAAATACATTGCTGTTTTGGTTGAAGGATATAGAAGTTTTAGCCTCCCAGTATTTCTCCTTTTTCCACTGGCCCTTGTACAGACTCTAGAGAATATCTCCATCTCTACAGAGAATACTTTGAACAAAACCACTATTATAAACTATACGCTTCAATAAATATTGTCAGAGTTTCTTATGCAATATGCAAAAAAATTTACTTACAGTTTATGGCTTGCTCTAACATGTCTTGAGTGGTTTCAAATGCTGTTGTTGACACTGGCAGAATGCCAGACAAGAACTTTATGCTGGAAATAGAATCCTGAATTTCGTTACTAAATTACTTAACCAGCAGGGTAGGAATTGAGTCTGAGAGAGTAATGAAATATGATTTTACACTGTTTTGTAAGGAAACAAAAAACAATATTGAGTTAAAATATCATAGGAAATTTAAGTAGAAAGTTATAATTCGGACAGCCTATCCATGTTTACATACACTAAGGTTTTTCCCGTAAGATTGTTCACATTGTAAAGGGAAAATTATCAAATGAAGTTAATAGAGACTATGAATTCCTAAGTTACAAAATTTTTAAATAGTGCAATTTTAAACTTCTGCATAAATTTGTGTAAAGAAACTAAAAGTAAACATATACTGAGGGATGTCAAGAACATGTCAAAGAAGCATTAAAATACAGGCAGCATCACCAAAGAAATTAACTTTTTAGCCAAACTTTGTTTTTCAATCAGTGTGTTTTACCACTTTACAGAATGTAAATGAATGATGGTTGAGCAAATATGCTGAAAATAGAAGCCAGTGTAACATATTTTAGCTAGTCATCCTTCAGTCTCCTGCCCTCTGATTAATCAGCCTCTGACCTATTCTGTAGCTTTCCTTATTAGAACTAATTGTTCCAAATACTTGCTATATCAGTATGAACATAGAATCAGACATGTTTAGTAAATTCAACCACTTTTTTTTAATAAGGGACAATGACAGATTATTTTTAATCCTCATTCTTTTTAGAATCAATTTGCATGTCAAAATTGGCTTTCAAATACTGGGTTTACTTTCAGCCTACCAGATGTTTAGAAAAATGTGTTCAAAAGCCCCATTCAGAGAACACATGCACATCTTCCAGAAGTGCTACTATAGAACATAATATTTACTGAAACTGTCTAGGGGGCTGGCAAAGTGGCTCGAGGTAGAACTCCTGCCTAGCAAGTAGAAGGCCCTAAGTTCAAGCCCCTCCCAGTACTACTAAAAAAAAAAAAACCAAAAGAAATTGTCTAGGAAGGTTCTTACAATGCCTACAACATTTGGACATTCTTAATAGTGGCAAACTGTCCATTGCAATTAAATTTAATGTTTAATTTTTGCAGTGAGATTTCAGTAGAAAATGATACAGATAATCCAAGGTTGTCTTAGAAAAAGAAGTGATACAGGAAAAATATAACCTGAGAAGGGCCATCTGAAAATGAGGGATATCTTACAAGGGAATTTAAAGAGCACATCTGACTGAGAACTTCATGCAGAGATCCTCTTAAATGACAGAAGATCTCTGTCCATTCTGCTTCCATGTTGAAGCAGTGAAAGATGCCCTTGGGTTCATTACTGTTGGATTTCATAATGCTGTAATTACCAGTTTTTAAACTACAATACAGTGAAATCAATGACTGGACAACATTTCAAAAGGAATTTGTGATGAATTTCAAAGATTCCATGGAAAGTTCATCCTACTTGAAAACAGAAGTATTGTTGCCAGAATTTAGACTTAATCAATGACTGTTGGTTTCATATATAAAAATCTTCTTGATGTAAAAATTGTTTTTCCAAGATTGATGTATTTTTAACTATGCGATTATATATAATACAAGAACTTAATCAAAGCTAAGGGTTCAGCCTCTGTAAGTTAATATGCTAGCCAAAGTACAAGAAGAAAGCTGGACAGGTTCTCTTGATCTTCAGCCTTCAAAGAACCAGGATTCTGTTCTTAATTATTTGCATTCCCTTTCTTTTATTTTTCTAATGTGCATTTATAAATTTTAAAGGAAATTATTTTAATATAAATTAAAATAGAATATTCTAAAGTTGAAATAATTCATATATTTATTGTTGCTTTACTCTCTGAACATTAAGTCTACAGGCTTGGGACCAACAAAATCCACTATTTTCCGTCATTGTTATTTGCTGCTACATAGAGCCATATGGAGTTATTCTTTTATTCAATTTTCTGCCTCCTATTTGCTCCTCTTTTTTCTACTGTTTTTGGAATGGGGAATAGTTGCATACAATAAGAAATTTGCCTAACAAAAAATACTGTCGTAGTCGTTCTTTTTTTCTTTGGTTCTTTTAAATCATTGGGACAAATTAAAGTGAAGCACAAAGACATTGTTGTACTGACTATTGAGAATTAATTTGTGAATAGGATTTTTCCTCTACAGATAATTCTCAAAATATAGGATATAAGACCCTTTCAGAGTCTCTTCTAGGGAAAAATATTTTCACAATAATAAGTTGTCATTTGCCCGCTTTCACAGTCATTCTTTCATGCACATAGAGTGGAGTGTTTCAGACACTGCCTGGTGGGTGATGTTGCAAAAGCAACATTAGAATCCACTGGTCTTTTGTGATGCTAGACATCAAAGAAAATTCAAAACATATAAAACAAGGCCTCACTTTTTGCAACCCTTTTTTAAATCTAGTAATTTTCATTTAATGAGTCATGTATAGTAATATATGACAGTTTGTTCTATAAATGAATTAATAACATTTTTTAAACTTTTCCATTTTAACTTCAAATACCATAAGTACCGATGGATGCAACCCCATAGATAAAAGCTCTATAAAGCCCTCCTCCTGACACCAAAAAGTTAAGGACCCAATACTCTGCATGATCTTTTTTATTCTCAAATATTTGAGTTTTTGTATTTTATTTTCAGTTTACTTTTTATAATGTGAAATATCTGTTTTTAGGTTGCTACAAGCCTCAGGAAAGATAAGATTACTTGATGTTGGCAGCTGCTTTAACCCATTTTTGAAGTTTGAAGAATTTCTGACTGTTGGCATTGACATTGTACCTGCTGTAGAGGTATATATAATTTTGTTTTCAGACTTGAGTTTTTTGCGTGTATATTTACAAAGGAAAAGCACTGTCTTTACATTCCTAAAATTACAAATATGTTTCTTTTATACCAGCTTATTAAAAGAGATTATTTCTACTCAATTAAATATATTTCTGTGAAAATGAGCATTTAGTTAACCAATATTAATGTGACCACTACCATGTTTATCTTTATTTTCTTTGTTCTGTTCCTTCTTTGTCATCTAAACAGTCATAATCTGGAACTATGCTATAATGAAATCATTGCAGTGATCTACTCCAGTAGATTACAAAGATTTCCAGATAGCTGTAGTATTTGACCTTTGCATTTTGCTTGACTAAGGATGACTATATGTATATACGTGTGTGTATATATATATTATATAGTATGCATATATATCAGTGCATCTGTTCCTGAAATGTACCATGTTGTAGAGTGGATTAGAGATTTATCACACACACACACTTGCATGCTCACTGCTATAGTCTTAACACCAGGAAAAAAACCTAGTACATTAGGTACTTTTCAATAAAAGAATGAAATCTTACTTTAGGTTTGAATATCTCAAACACCATTTTCTACTCTGAGTCTGTTTTCTTATGTATAGAATGGGGTTCTCAAGAATGTTTTCTTGAGAAAAAGTATTTAAAACATGTACCATAATACCTGCTACATAGTGAATGCTAAAGAAATGTTTAATATTATCCTTGAAAAGATCCTGCATGAAGCTTCAACTTTTATCTGAATCTTTAATTATATATCATTTTGACTACCATGACTGTTTAGGTTAAATCTGTCTGAGTAACATTAAGGAATAAGAAAAGGCTAAAACCATTACTGTTCTCTCTACTTCCTTAAAAACAAATATTTGCTCTACTGTTCTTAGCTTATTACTGAAGTGAACTCCTGTGAAATCAGAGCTATAATTTCAAAGTACAAGTGGCTTTGTACATGAATTCTTCCCCTGCACCTTTCCTTTAACATACACTAGAGATATTTTTTAGGGTCTGCTAATACGTGATGGCCATTTTTAAATACTAAGGCTTAAATATATTTTTGAATAATAAATTTTAGTTTTATAGACAGAATTTTCAACTGTGTAGTCATTAAGGAAGATGAAAGAACAGCTATATTGAAGTTCAGCAGAAGAAACAGATTTTAATAATTCCAGAACTCTGTAACTAATTTGAAAACAAAGTGAAGACACACTATCCCAGCCAGAAGAACAGACTAGATTTATTCACATCCCCCTTGCCTAAAACAACCAAAAAGTGGTTAAGAGATCTGATATATTTTATATCATGCTAGACATCAGGTAATGAAATAGTGATTCTGAGAGATGGAAAACACATGTGATGAGCCCTATAACTGCACTAATGTATTACATTAAGAGAGTTTCCAGGTGAGGGGATCCCAAGCAAAGGTCAGCTGGTTCCTGAGTTGTGGAGGTGGAATGGCACTCTGAGAGTCTTAGGAGATTAAAGTAGGTACAGTTTGTAGGATGAGTACCAAAAATTAGAAACCTGCAAAAAAGGAAAATTCAAAAGCCTAAAAAAGATCCTTCTTGAGTACTGCTTGCAGAGTATATGAGAAAATTGCATAAAACTGGAAAAACTGCTAACTGAAAGAATTAGAAGTTCCAGTGCCCAGCACTCACACAGGGTGGAAATAGTACCTGTTCCCATCAGCCATACTGCATTGGATGGAGTACACAGAAGGGTCATGCCCCAGTAGTGGAGAGTAATAAGCCTTAGGCTGAACACTATTATAGCCTCTCCTAACAAATTTTAAAAGATCCAAAAAGAACAGATTGTCACTAGGTATCTTAACTACATCCTAGGATAAAGCTCAAGAATATTTATAGCAATCCACAGCCATCTAGTACTCAAAGGAGTAAAGCAGTAAACTATTGTGTATCACTTTCCCAAGTAGAAGGGCCAGATGATTATGTGACCAGCTTCTCTACCCAACTGACAAGGGTAAGAGAATAAGTTAATAGCACATAACTTTGTTAATTAAAACTATTGCTATCTGACATAACCTATTTGGGTCACAGTTTTAGTGGTTTCAATCCACAATTGACTCCATTGCTTTTGGGCCTGCGCCAAGGCCACACACAGTGGTGAGAGTACATAGCAGAGCACTAATTTTATAGTTAGGAGGCAAAAGAGAGAGGAAGGGGCTGAGTCCCAGAATTTCTTTCCATGGCACACCACCAGTGACCTGAAGACCTCCTGTTAGGCTTGACTTAGTGCCACCCTAAGAAGTATGCATTTATCACCCACCACATAGGCCATTGGGGAACGTTATGATAAATCTGTAACACTTTCTTATTCAGTGTCCTTCCTGTGGAGTTTTAATATTCAGGAAATTACGGAATGTTTATTCCTTTAGTTTGTAGTACTGCTCTCGGTCATTTAACACATGTCAATTAAATTTAATACATAGTTTGTTTGAAGCCAGATACTAACTCTGTAATAGAATAGGTTTATTTTGGCTCAGAGTTTCAGAGGTTTCAGTCCAAGGTTGGCTGGCTCTATTACTTTTGGACCTGAGGAAAGGCAGAATATCATGGCAGAAGAGGCAGCTTGGTAGCAGAGCAAGGGACTTGGGAAAACATGTACCTTTCATGGGCATGTCCCCAGTGTCCTACTGTATCCTTGAATAATGGATTAGTGTGTTATGAAGATAGAACCCTCCTGATCCAATCACCTTTTACCTCTGAATGTTGCTCCATCTGGGAGCAAGCCTTCAACACATGAGCCCCTGGGGACATTGTAGATCCAAACTATAACAATTACCCTCTTTGACTTCTCTGATTCATCCTTATTTCATGGCATCTGGTTTTAAAATTGTTTTTATATTAGCCTCTTTTCAATGACTATGAATGTTAAAGTGAATGTAAATATGACTAAGCTTTGAAATAAATCATTCCTAAAAACTCTTATCCAAATTAAATTTCATATAAGCCCATGATTTTTAAATATATGCTATAAAATACTTATTTGAAGTTGTTAGAAAAACCATTATGCACATGTGCATTTGTGTATTAAATGATGACTAAAAAATGTCAGGGCTTGGTTACTCAGATTTTTTTTATTGTAAGTTTTGACTAAGTCTATACAGACTTAACTTGGTAGGGAAAGGTACATAATCAAAGCTGGAATAATAGAAATACTATGAACTCTGAAATGTTTGGTGTAATATCTATGCACTAAGGTGGGAATAATCTTGAATTTTTGTTTGTTTGTTTTGAGCCCAAGTCTCATTGTGTATCCAGCTGGCTTCCAACTTGTGATCCTCCTGCCTCACCCTCCTGAGTGCTGGGGTTAAAGGAGTATACCACCACACCCCTTAAAATTTTTAATATACCTTTTTTTCTTTTTGCAGAGTGTATATAAGTGTGACTTCCTGAACTTACAACTTCAGCAACCACTCCAGCTTGCACAGGATGCTATAGATGCTTTTCTGAAGCAACTGAAAAACCCTATTGATTCTCTTCCTGGAGAACTTTTTCATGTGGTTGTTTTCTCTCTCCTCCTTTCCTATTTTCCATCACCCTACCAACGATGGATTTGTTGCAAGAAAGCCCATGAACTGTTAGTGTTAAATGGTTTGCTACTTATCATCACTCCTGATTCCTCCCATCAGAACCGTCATGCTATGATGATGAAAAGCTGGAAGATAGCTATAGAGTCCCTGGGCTTTAAACGCTTCAAGTATTCAAAATTTTCTCATATGCATCTGATGGCTTTTAGGAAAATCTCCCTAAAAACCACAAGTGACTTGGTTAGCAGGAACTATCCAGGGATGTTATATATTCCTCAAGATTTCAACAGTATTGAAGATGAGGAATATTCTAACCCTTCCTGCTATGTCCGATCGGATTTAGAAGATGAACAACTGGCATATGGTTTCACAGAGCTCCCGGATGCTCCATACGACTCAGATTCTGGAGAAAGTCAAACCAGCTCCATTCCCTTCTATGAGCTAGAAGATCCCATATTACTTTTAAGTTAATATAAAAGCAAGGGCCCTTCAGTCTAGACTCCAAACATAATTGCTTACACTAATCAGAAATACTAACATGAACTCAGTACTTAAAACCTGGTTTGCATAGAAGAAATGCACAGGTTTACAGAGTTTGCTATTTTTTTCTACTTCTGGATTTTAAAATTTATTCTTATATAGAAAGCTTAAAGTTTCATGCAGAGTGAGTTCTGTCATAGCAGAAATCACTGTACTTTAGCATTTCGCACTAAGATATAGAAAGGTACCTTTTTTCTCTTTAGTGCTATTGTGAAAAATGAAGCGTAATTTGCTATATATTTTCCTTTCTTCAGTTGTTCAATGTTGACTTTAAACCATTGCAGTGAGAAACTTTAAGATACGTAGAAAGCTGTAGATTGCACTTTGATGACTCACAAGTTAAAAATGACACAGAGATAGGTTGGTTTAGTTGTTTTGTGATGCACTTATGTTTTCCTTTCTTCTAACTAAATTGTTACCTGTTACAGAAAGACATTTTCTATTCAGTTTCATCTGATGATCCATTATATCCTGAGCTTTTTGAAATTGGTGATAACTCTATCTTTTTTCTTCTATTAAGCTCATTTGGCAGCACCAGACATCGGGAGAGTGATTCCCCCAAAGTATGTATTCTATTTTCATTAGCATAATACAGTAAACACCGTTGCCAAAGTAGTATTTTTATAACTTTCTTGTTGTTTTAGGCCTTGGTGTTAGACTATATATTTATCTGTGAGAGTTCACTTTTACTTTTTTTTAAAATTTAGGTTTCATTTACAGAACTTTCTATTTAAGCAAGGAACAATACTCAATTCTGACTAAAAATACTTTAGAGAAAGGGTTTGCACTTGTAAGAAAGTTTATGTTCTATTGAGACCACCATTCCAACTTTCCATTAAGGAGGTGCTGCACTACAGGTTTGGAATTATATTAAAAATGTAAAATTAACCCTCTACTGGTAATCTCAGAAAATGGTTCCTAATTTCTTTGTTAACCCTACCAGAAAATTTTCTTTGAAGAAGATATCATTAGTTGGCTGTGGGAATTCTCCCTTTCCACATTGATAAATGCCTTTCTGTGTTTCTGAATCAGAAGCAAATGATTAAGGAGAAATATAGTCCAAATAAGACAAGTTTAAACAGCTAACAACATTTAGTACATACTGTCTTGTCAGCCAGCAATTGTCATGTAAACTATCATTTTTAAGAGTGCCACTGTGTGGATTTTTTTTCAAGTGGTTATTACATTAAAATTACCTCATACTGAGGTTTTTGCACTGAATATCACAGTTTCAGATTTCATGGTTAGTATTGTGTGTGTGTGTGTGTATTTTTAAAGAAAATTTGCATTTTCGATAGTTGATCCTCAATTTCATAAACTGCACTTCTTTACTCTGGTAAAACTGAGGTTTTTGTGCTTATTGTGAATTACTATAGTTACAGGTCAGATTTTATTTAGGAGTACAAAACTTATCCTTTGAGATATAAATCATTGTGTGTACCCAGTATTTCAAAGTAAATTTCACATGCTAAATTAATGAAAATAACAAGATTGTAATTAACCTAAAAAAAGGTCAGTTGACTAAATGCAATAAATAATTGTTGCTCAAATATGCCATATGTAACCTGAAATTTTTCACTTACTTTCAATAGCATATAATTCCTTAATAATTAGGATTGACTTTTCTTTTAGTTAAGTACTGCAGCATTGTGTTTTATAGCTCCCACAAAAGAGAAAAGGAAAAAAAATTAAGAAGTATTGTGTTCAGAGTAATATAGAACTGTATTCTGGTAGTACCCTTTTTTTCATACCGTTTGTTTTGCTTGGTTTTGCTAAATCCAGTCCTGAGAGCAAAGAAAATAATACACCAAATGAAAATGCTTTGAAAGTAAATGGAAAACAGTGCTTTTGAAAGGCTGGTCAGAGTTTGACCTTTGAGACAGCTTTTGTGTTACATCTAAAATGTTGGTGCTATAAATTCATCTGATTGTTTACAGATGTTGATTCTGCTTATACTCCAAAATGTGCATGATGTATTTTAAGTAGTACTTTAAAGAAGAATCTCTTTATAAAGCTTAATACCACTTAGTATAAATTTGTTTGAATTTATATCATTTGTTACTGTAAATTCAGTTTATTCAGATTAAGTTGGCACAGGATTTAAACCAAGTCATATTCCACCAAGGCCAATTCAGAGTATAAATGTGGAAACGTAACCAGTCATTGTGGTGTGGCACCAGATTACATATATGTTACAACAAATGACATTAATAGGGCCTTCCAATACTGTATGGGTACTCTTCAGAATTATTTCATTTTGATATAAGGAAGTTAAGGGACCTCCCATCATGTTCACAGCAATTTCTCCAAAATAATTTGGTGTTTTAGAAACAAATGATAATCATGTGGCTGGATTCTTCAGGATCATGAACAGATCATGTGGTTTTACTATAGTTGCCAAGTGGTGGGAAGTAGAGTACCTGAAAATGTATGTTTGTGTTTGTTGTATTTTTTCACATTTTGTGAGCAAAGCACATTTATTAAAAATTTTAAATTTTCTAATATTCTTTGTATATTATTTATAAACTGAAACCTTTTAGGTTTTTTTTTTATCTCACTAAATAATTTCAGAATTGGAAAACAATTTAGAATTTGACCTTTAGAATTTCCATCTAGGTTTTATCTAGTCAAATCCCTTAATTTCATAAATTCATTCACTGAGATTCAGAGACTTCAAATGACTTCTCTGTTTTTGTGCATTGTCATGCTGTTAATGGCAGATAATAGCATAAATTCTACCTGGTCATATGGCAACCATATGTAATTAACTTTCAAAAAACATGAACTATGACAATAGATAATATAGTTGAGTATATCTGTTAGGATAGCAGTCAGTTTTCTTTAATTCTGTAAACAAATGTTTGTATTCTACCTTGTGTAACATGCTGAGGAGACAGCAGGCATTTGGGGGGATCACAGCCCCCCCCCCCCCCCCCCGCTTCCATGGAGCTCACAATGTAGTGGAATAGACAAGAGTTCCTTGAAAAATATCTTCCATCTAGGAATGATCATCTACTGATCCTACAGGTTTGCCTGCTCTTAAAATCCTTAATTTGTTCCCTAGTAATGGTACAGGAGGTGAAAAAACAAAAAAAAAGAAAAAACGCATACACACAAAAAACTTTAGCAAATTACAAACACATTGTGGATAAAAGGGATGTATCATTCACCCCGTTCAGAAAAGTGCAAGCTAAATATACATTCTCTGATTGTAAAAAAGATGGGGAAAAGTACAATGAAGCTTGTGCTCCATTTGCCACCCTTTTGTGAGCACAGTACAATGGCAGGATTCCTCTGCAGCAGGTCAGCAGAATGTAGACTTATTTATGTAGCTCAGTGGTAAGAGAATGTGCTTTAATGTGTACAAGGCCCTGGGTTCAATTCCAGCACCTCACACACATACACACTTTCTTCTTAGTGTTACAAATTCTTACATAACAAAGGTAGAAAACTAATTCTTTTACTACTCAAATAATACAGAGGCTTATTATAAGGAGTGCTTGTATACAATAAATTTATTCCTCCCAGTAAAATTAATTGTAGTAACATCCAGTTCAAATAAAAAAAATTATATTCATGATGCACTGTGAACACAAAGCTCTCCAAGAATATTAGTGGTGGCCTTTACTACACAGTACCAAAGAACACTCATGGTACTATAGCTAACAATTGCATTAATCTTAAGGATCTCAAAATTTTATTAAAGGAGAGAAGAACTGGGTTTTTAAAATCCCCATTTGTGTCTCATTGGAGAAATGCAAATGTCAATGGATGGAAAGTTTTTTATTTACCTTAAACTTTGCTTTGAATGTATGTTTTATCCTAAATTTGATGTGCTCAGAATCTCAGTAGTTTGATGTGCATCTATTTTTATATGAGATTCTTGTTGTATTTAGTACTGTTGAGTAGTTACTTGTATTCAATATAAGCAGTGTTTTAACTTATTTTGAACTTTATTTTTAACCATGGTACCTTTGCTAAGTTTTTAGAAAGCTATTCCAGTTTTTGTAATTTAAAATATCACAAGTCTAAATCACATCTTAGTGTTTGTTGTTCTTAGTAATCAAAAATTATTTTTACATCGTACATCTTAATAATTTCTATTAGTGGGCCCAAAATTGGTCATGGCCAATATTAGTTTATTTCTCCCTCAAATTCCTGTTCTTTAACATCTGTTTAGATGAGTTTCAGAGACAAGCTAAAATGTGATAGGATGATAAAGTCAGCAAAAAACAATTATAGTTTCCAAACTGCCACAGTCCTTTTCACTAGAAACCAAGCGATACTAGTTTTCCAAAGCCAGACCAGGATGAAATAATTCCTGGAAATAAAGTAAACAGATGAATGCTGGAAAGAAGAGAGAAAGGTAGGCAAGCTAAACCCTTGGAGACTGGCTGCAGGTGAAAAAAAAAATTCTCAGCAAACAGACTTGAGACCAAAAAAAGAGAAAAAAAAAGCCTAACAACTTACCTATAGAAGGAAGTTTATATTTTCTGACCCCGCTGACCCAACAGCACAGATAAAGTAAAAGAGAGCAGGTTGCTGAGGAAACAGAGTAGGAAGCTAGGAATTTGAAAGAAGATACATTTTGATAGGGAGGAAATGTGGTGGTCTGGAACATTTGTAACCATAGGCATCAAAGTAGGTACCCTGTGGGACTGGAGAAGGGGACATACAAAATGGTAGTTAGGATGTTGGTTTTGCTTATGGCTGACTACCCACTGAATAACTTAATTTCATACCTTAAAAAGTTCACACAAGTCCTTTATAATAAAATGAATAACAAAGACTTTCCTCCCTAAAATTTCACAAGTGTAAAAAGGCTGTATTTTTATGTCATTGGTGAAGAAGTGTCAGTATAGAAAGGTGGATAATAATACTTCTGTGCATTCATTTTATTCCTCAGTGTGAAGCATGAAATTCCAAAGAACCCAAGCACAGGTCTTGCGACACATCATTTTAGATAGTATGCAGTATTCTTAGAACCTATACTTAGAATTGCTTTTCAGTAATGATTTTTCACTTACTTACTAGGCCTTGTGATCTGCTTTTCTAACTGAAGGCTATTGTCACCACATATTAGTATGTGGTGACAAAATAAAGCAAAATTGTCTCCACCATTAGATCAGTACTGATTTATTATTATTGCACTATTTGTAGTTGAGGCATTTGTGTTGCACTATTACACTGAATTAAGTACTCTAAGAAATGGACAATCTATTCTTTTCAGGAACAGACAATGTAAGAAAAAATACACCAGCATTAGTACAAAGCAAAAACTGCAACATTGAAAAACATTCTTGATTGCATTCTCTGATGGTGCGTATCAATGAAATGTGTTCACTTAACCTTCCTGATACACTGTTCATAACTTACCTAAATGCAAGTTGAAGATGGGAATCCCTCGTCATGGAAGGGCAAAGGTAAGCATTGTGGTCCCTGTATTTCTCCATCTCAGTCTCCTGGCACTCTCTCCATCATCCTTTATGTTAAAGTCCTGGGGGAAAATACGCATGCCCATCTTTTGGAGTAGCTCGTCCCTATGCCTAGAATTTCTACCTCTTACATTTAATTTGCATGGCTTACTCTTTTTTTTGTTATTCAGCTCTCAATTTAAATGACACTTCTCAGGGAGAACTTCCTAGTCCACATAATTTAGTCTTTTCCAAATCACCATAAAGTGTCTGCATAGTTCCAAATATCTAAAATTTATCTTTTTCTGGTTTGTCTATATATACAGGCAAAGCCCTCTATCCTGTCTTTATCCTTGGCTAACAAAAGTACATTGCACAAGCAGCAGATGATCAATAAATATTTGTATATGAATTTATTCTACCTTCCCACATGCAACTGAGATGATACAGGACCATTCTACTCCTAGTAACTTAATTTATGAATCTTTTGGGATGGTCTGACTGTTATATTAATTACTTCATGCATTCTTAGAATTAGGATATAGTTCAGTTTTATTCTTCAGAAAAGTCTGCATTGGTTTACATAAAAATGAAACTTAGACCAGTAAGTGATTTGGAGCCATATAATTTCTCCTGTCTACTGACTTCTGCACATTAAAATTTATAGTATTTTAGGACTCTACATTCTCATGATGTCTATCCAGTTCCCACCTCTCACTCCTGTCCAATAAATACTAAGTTTGTAACCCACCATTCATTTTTATATCTTTTAATGGAGTATCTAGCAAATTGAGCTCCAGTCCCACATGAGAAGTGGTACCCCAGCAGTGTTAAGAAATGACTCCAACTGCTTTCTTGGCTTTGTATTCAGACAAGTTTCCACCACTAGTTAATGCCAAAAGAAATTTGTCCAAGCAAGCAGTTTCTCCTCAGGACCTATTTCTTAATCCATAAAATTCACTTTGCATGGTTGATAGGTTTAAAAATAATTTCTATAAAGTAAATAACACAATCTTTTTGCACAGTACAGAGATACAACACATTACTAATTTTGCCAAAGTGCTTTTAAAAGCCCTATTCTTTCTTCATTTAGTGTTGCCTGTTCTGTGCCTCCCATGCACATTCACCATTTAATCTCCATCACCAATTCAAAATCTGACACCCATTTCTTAGAATGATACTGAGCAAGTTAAGCTTTCAGTGTTAACTTCACTTATCTTCAATTTTTCTTGCCAATGAATTTGCAGAAAATGATATAAAAGATTCCCAATTAATTGCAACCTACCCTGCAAGGTTTCAGTGAAACTACAAAACAAATCTCAATATGAGGTTGTCTTGTTTCTTTAAAATATGAATTCATGGGTTGGCAGAGTGGCTCAAGTGGTAGAGCACCTGCCTAGCAAGCATGAGGCCCTGAATTCAAACTCCACGATAGCCCAAAAAAAATGAGTTCATAAACAGAAGTAAATCCACTTCTTCAGTATATTTGATTCAACTATCTAATTATTAAGCCTGAGGAAGGCTCCATAACTATAAAGGATACTAGTTAATACAAACTAGGAAAATCATTTCTTTTTAAAGGCAGAGTTTTGCCCTGTACCCAGGCAGGCCTTAATTTGCAATCCTGTCTCAGCCTCCCAAGTGCTGACATGATAGGCATGCATCTCTCTCTCTCTCTCCTCTCTCCCTCTCTCTCCTCCCTTCTCCCCCTCTCTCCATCCCTCCTTCCGTTCCTCCCTCTTTTTGTGGTGCTGGGGATATAGAGATCAGACCCAGGGCCATGCACATGCTAGACAAATTTTTTCACTGAGCTACATCTCCAGCCTGAGAATCACCAGTATTTTTTTCCAACATAGGATTAATGACATCACAGCATTATATAGGAAGAAAACCCTTGAAACAGTTCATTTTCTAAGGTACTGACTTCTCTGGCTCTATAAAAGCATGTTTAATGTTGCTCTACAAAAGCAAGTTGGATGTAACCACATCCATGGACAGTACTGGTCTGAAGCTACCAACTAAAGTTATTTATGGCACTTCTACACACACAGAAAT